GCTTTTTTAAAATTACAAGGTGCTATTAAGTTCTTATGCCTTCGACTGGAACAGCAAATGTAACATTAGCTGTAACCTGATGATGCCCTGTACCAGGGTCATCTAAAACTTATGTCTTAGTATTATAAGATATATCTGATGATACAAGTAATAAATCTGGATTAAGTGATTTTTTGTTATAGTGCAAAAAAGTTTTTAAGTCTTTGGGGTCGTAAATTAATTCAAGCATGAAGGAATTCAAAAGTTCCTCGACTTCTCTCCCAGGATCATTTACATCTTGATAACCCCATGATGGAGAATGGGCATTAAAATCTCCTATCAGTATTGTTTTTGATGAATTATTGAGGCAGGTAAAACTTGGTTTGTTGTTCGGAGGGTTGTATATAACTTATTTTAAAGTGAGCACTGTGTTTCCACACATCCAAAAGTACAACCTCACCTTTGTCCAAAACCATGACTCATATGTTTGATTATTTTAAAGTTGGCCAGTAGTCCCTTTTTTTACTCCAGTTAAAATGCCACTGGCAACTTGTCTTGATTTTGGCAAAATAGATAGATTGTAATCATTAAAGGAAAAATATTATACAGCAGAGGAATAATAGATAAAAATATGAAAATAATATTCAGTTAACATTTTAAACCTTTCTTTTCAATCTTCCATGAAACCAATTGTTCATCTGTAACATCTGTAAAATTTTTGGGTTGATCTTTACATTATGGTAACTTAGCGTTTTTTTGGCGAAAATTTGGCGACCAACTCTCCTACAGCAACCCTCTATTTTTTTTTCCCCGCCGCCATTTTGTCTTCACGAAGTAAAGACATGTTTCTTTTCTTTTTATCTACTGAACACTTCTTCCAACAATCTACTAGCCGAATTACACTTATGCTAGAAATTTTATCAAACAAAACTGCTTAATCATGACAAATATTCACTGCAAAATTGGGAAAAGTGCACAATACCATACTCCTTACGCGTTTTTCAAAATAACACATACACATAAACCATGTACACGGCGACTTATTTTTACTTAAAAAAAACATCCCAGAATTGCACAAAAATGGCATTGCGCACACTCTTCACTATATCCATGTACACTGCTTTTTCTCATAAATTAGAAAAATTTCATTTCACGAAAATACATGACAATTTTTCTCAATCTTTAAACCCGGTAAAAAGAACATATATGAAATTACCTGATCGCGAAAAAGTATTTACCCTTTACAAATATGAACATTTCCACATATAAAATAAATAAAATATCCAAAACCTTTTACCTCTAAATCATCTATTACATTACACACGTCACCAACGAATTCATACCGCAAGCATTACAAATACTTAATATCAAATATTTAAATTATTTCCATGCACGTTTATTTCAACTTAAACGTATACCAAATTCCTACAAACATAAAATTCACAAAATAACTATCATTTCATTAAAATATAATTAAATTCAAAAACACTACTTAAAATATAAATGAGCACATACATTAAATTAATAAAAATTACCTTACAATCCTAATTACTTTAAACTAAATCATTGCTAATAACAATTTTCCCAATAATACAAAATTCCTTTCCACCTTACATTTAGAACAATGCATAAAAATAATATCCTCAAATAATTAAAAATACTAACTTACCTAATCTTCTTCAGAATCTTGATTACGTGTCCGATAAACTTTTCTTGAGTTACGGCCATGGGATCCAAAAATTCACGAACACTGTTTCACACAACACAGAATAAACCAAATACAAAATTTCTAGATTTGTTCCAGATTTCCCCCCTTTTCCGATTCAAGAACCGTAATTCGTCCATTAATATCACATGACATATCCCATGATCTCTCATTTCCCTCACACAAAATAATGCGTAATCGGAACTGAGTATTGCTCACATTATTACCAAAGTCCCAGGTAGTAACCTTTATCGCCTCCAAAATGTCGCCAAACTACCAGTTACCGTATTGTAAAGATCAACCAATTTTTGATTAAAAAAACTCTTCCCCCCTGTCCCCCCCAAAAAACTGAAAGCTTTCAGATTTAATATTATGCCCAAAGAGCTATTTTTTTTTTTTTTTTTTTCATTTACACATATATACATATTTAGAGAATATTTGGGTGAATGCCCCTCAGGGCTGAAAATATTTAAAAACAGCATATCTTTAGAATTCTTTATATACAGTCTCACATGCTGGAGATAAAAAATATTGGTACTATTCAGTTTCGAGGGCCATAAAAAAATTGCAGCGAAAATGTACGCTCAAAAGCGCCAAATCTAGCAAATGCGCCCATTTAACAGTGCACCAAATCTAGCGTATGCGCTGGTTTCAGACTGTGTACGTTTATATAGTTCTATATTTCTTAAGATGCCATTGAAATACTAGTTTAATTTTTAAATCCATTTTTGATATCCTATGGATTTAACAATTTGGGAATTGCCCATGATGAAAACTCGGCAATAGAATTTTGGTGAAGTGCAGAATCACCCACTGCTTGACGCGATTTTAAGAATTGCACATACTCGGTATCCATGTGCACATCAACCTATTTTCACTTTAAAAAAATTATAGAATTGCACAAAAATGGCACTGCGCACACCCTTGACTTTATGTACAAATCGATCTATTTTCATTTAAAAGTAAAAGAAAATTGACAAAAATCCAATTGTTTTTACTTTTGTAAAAAGCGGCAAACAAATAAGTGAGCGATTCTGCACTTTACCGAGAATATTTTCAAAGAAAAGGAATCATTCATTATAGAAAATTAAATTTGAACAACCGACGAGATGAAATTATGCTTTAGCGATAAATCGGTAGCGAAATAGCGATGCAGGCATCCATTCAGTTATGTTTAGCAATTTTTATATAAATTATAATAATGATTTGAAATAGTTATTTACTCTTATGCTTCCATTCAGTCATGTTTAGCCTTTTTCATATCAATTATAATAATAAAAAAGTATTATATAAAATTAACCTTTCATCTAAATTAAAACATCAATCTTATTTACTATTATACTTCGTTTCTTGCCGCAATTATTTTTGACAGCATTGGCATCTACAATTGTTTGGCGATATTTTACGGCCCTCGAAACCAAATAGTACCAAAATATTTCATTCCAATTTAACAATTTTCAGCACATCAACAGTAAAAAAATATAACAACAGTTTAACTACAATACAAAGTCCAAAACTTGCACGTCCAGTATCCAGAATGATCATCTAATATCTGGATCTGAAAATAATCAAGACATGCACAAAAAATTTCCATTACAAAATCTAGGAATGAAGGATATAATACTCAAGAACAGTAAATAGGTCTTCCATAAATGCAGATTGAAATGGCGATTTTTCTCCCTGCTGAGATTCCTATATGTTACTTTCAAACACCTGGTGTCAAGAGAATCATACCACGGCCAATGACAATACATTGATAAATGTATTGATATTGGCTGTGATCTCACTTCTGATCCTTGAGTGCTTGTGGGAGGGGATTAGCATTCTTCCACATGACCTAAACAATTAATAAAGCTTTAATGTTACCACACCTACATGCAATTTTCCTAAGCTGATGATCTAAACTCCGGAAATTTCAACATTCGTGGAAGTCCACATGATTAACAGATCTCTTATATAACACTGTATTAAAAAAAGCATATTTATCATTTTCAGAGCATGTGGATTAATTTGGATCATAATCCAGAACTCGTGGCATAATATTTGTTGTTATTTGACAAAACATGCTGAAGAACTAAAAGCAAAATATGCACTGCCATTTTTCAAGGTATGTAGTTGAAAGTAGAACGGTATCGAAACTACTTGGATATGTATTGTGATGTTTGGACAAGAGATGGATTTATTTAAATAACTGTAATTAAAAAAAAAAGGATCCCTTCTTAATTTTTATTGTAAAACAAAAGGAGAAAAAGCAAGAATTCTAAAAAGTGGTTCCTAAGTTTCAGTGGAGGATTTGCGACTGTTAGTTTTCACAAAACAAAAAGCTAAATTAATTTATCTAGAAAACCATCATACAATATAACTCCATGAAAATAAAATAAAATACCAGTCACCTATCTAATTTTATCGCACAATGTTTAAAAAAATATATACACATTAAGTCCTTATCTTTTATTTGCAATCTTTCAAAGTATCCTGATAGGTTAGCATAGATAATTATGCTTTTAAAGTAATGGGAAAACATATATTTAATGCAAACCTAAGGTACTGGATGCAATACACAACTCCTAACTCTTATTTGTCCTTTATAATTAGTGAAGTAACAAAGACAGATTGAAAGTTCAAGGGATATATATAAGATGTCCCAAAATTAATGCAAGATTTGAATTAAATAAAAAAACACAGTTTTTTTCTTTAAATTGTTATTTTTTATTGAATCATAAAGTACTTAGGATAGGGTTATGTATGGAATAACACATCCTGCAAATGGCCACAATGGCCTTGCTAGCAGATACGCACTCTTTTGTCAAAATTTTCCACGACTATTTTGCATAAATGTGGCTGAATTTCATTGATGCAGTGTCCAATTTCCTCCTTCAATGCATGTTTGTTGGCTTGTTCACACAGAAATTTGAAAATTCCTCAGCTATAAACCTTTGTCTTTCTCTGAATACAAAAATGAACTCCTTAAACACCGAAACATTAACTACTGAAAGACTAAATAAATTAAAGTGATATATTTTGAATTAACAAGCACAAGAAGATATCAGCTGTCAGAAACCGAAAACTGGTTATAAAAGTACTTCGGCATTACTAAATAAATGATATATTAAAACGTTATTACGGTCTTTTTAAAATAAAATAGTTTTGCCACATGAAAGTAAAATATGTGAATCAAATTTATATATATATATATATTTTATTTTCACTTTTTATCTGAAGCATATGGTATATACCAAATTTAAAATAAATGTGAGTTTAATACAAACAATCCTTTAATATAAGCAAACCACGCAGAGAATAAATGAAAAATTACCAAGAATCCTGCTTAAAAGCCATCTTCTCAGTATTTTCTGTATTATTCGAAACTACTAAAAACAATGCTTATGCAGTCGTAAAATTTTTTCTAAAATATGTTAATTAATTAAGGATCACATAATTAATTTACTATCATTTGTCATATGACAATAACATGACAAACAGACAAAAATAATTATAAGATGTTTCGTTTTGCATCCACTAGATCTTTCAGCTAGAGTTTATGTTTCATAATATTTTGCATGGCTGCAAATGTTGAAATTTTTAAATTTAAATCAAAATATGCGAATTTAGTTTCAGATTAAATTTTATCAATCAAGCAATATCTATTAATCATTTTTAATAAGCATGCTTATTTAAAATTAACAATGGTTCTAACTTGCTAAGAAAATACTTTTACTATAACTTTCCCCGGCACTGAATCTTCTGCTACGGTTCAGTTTCCGCGTTTTAGTCTTTTTTTATGCAGCCGTAATCCCATGACACTTTTGGAATAAAATGCGGATTAGACGTCGAAGTATACATATTTGTATTCTTCTTAATCAGATTAATGCTGCTGCTTCTTAGCTGGCGAGTTAACTCTAATGTTTTCTGTATTTTTTCTTTTCAGAGCTGTTTAATTTATTTTTTAATTATATCTTTCACTGGCCGTGATTTTTATGGCTGCTTTTGTTTGATTATAAGTATCATTTATTAATGACCTTTTGGCACTGTTTGTTGCTTTTGAATATCCACAGTATTTGAAAGTACTTTTTCCCCCCAATCTATATCTCTGCACATGATAAAAGCCAAGCAAAAATGTATTCTTTCCATGTAAAAGATCAAAGTTTTGTGCGTTAATTTTTAACTTGTTTTTTATTTTTAGAAAAGATAATCATGTGGAACTGTGTCTCTTGGCTTTCTTCTCCGTGGTATGGTGCATCTTCTCTGCAGGTAATCTTATAGAATCTTTGTCTTTTATTTAAAATGTAATTTATACTTTGTAGCTTGTTTGATTTTATTAATGGGACTAATTAACTTTATATATCATATTTAAAATGCTAAATTTGACTTGTAATGTCATATTTTATTTCAAAACATAACCATATATCTCTAAAACAATTACCATTGGAGAGCATGGAGACAAGAATGGCATTGTTGCCAGTGGGTTCTTTGCAGAAGAAAACTCAGAATTTCTATTCATTATGGTAATTTTTAAACATCTCAGTTCTGTAATGGTAAACTAATAATGTAGTTTGCCATTTCGTAATTAAATGGTAAACTAAGTTATATTTCATGATTGCATGCTTACCAGTATTGTAATCCTGGAACTCATTGTAGATAGATTTTTAACTATGTTCTAATGCTTTAGAGAATTTGGTAAAAGTATATTTACAGGTGCCTCTTGGCGAATTTTGGCAGTACATGTACACCAAGTTTGTGCAATTTTTTTACTTGTTATTCTGGCTTTGTGTAGTGGCCATTTTTGCACAAAAATCTCATCAGTAACAAGTCAAAGAATTCCACAAACTTGATATCTATGTATACATCAACCTATTTTAAAAAACATCAGAGAATTTCACAAACTCGGCATTGCACACTCCCTTGACTTTGTCTATGTGCACATTGATTTGCTTTAACTTAAAAATTCAAAGGAGCACCCAGTTCTATATTAGAGCCAAACAAAAAATATATAATCTCAATAAACTACATTTTAAATCAATGAAATAACATAAAAAAGGAAATTCATCTTATAGCATCTAAGCACTACATAAGGAAATATCTGCTTACCTTATTTTGAAATTTCCATGTCTTCAGTCCGGAGCACACAAATTCCTTAACAGCATCCAAAAACTTTCTTCAAATCATACTCCCTTTCTAATGGAACACTTTGTATGGTGAGTATTTGAACCTTTCTTGAAACAAAGCCATCTGGACGTTCTTTATGTTCGACCATACACATTTCCTGCGTACAAACAGGACACTTATAATTCCGTTGAATTACATCCAACAAAGTTTCTTTTCTTCTGTCCTCTAGCCATTTTACGATGCACAGCACACAATATGTGATGTACTTTCTTACTGACAACCAACAAATATTTTCCCATCAGCCAAATTCACCACGATCACTCAGGCAATCACGTCATAATAGGTTTTCCATAAAATTCAACTCTTCAGGTTACCATAAATAAAACAACAACTTGGCGATAAATGAAACAGCTTTGTGATAATCCAAGGGGCACCCTTAAATATATATTAACCGAGAATTTTTTGGTCCATATTAAAGTTTTAAAAATTATATTCATTGTTATTAAACTATAATATGTACTAATGATCTATGTATTCTTAAATAACATGGTGTCTTTCATATAGCATTTCAAAATAATATTTGTACTTTGCTTTAGTTATACTTGGTTTCTGTATGAATTTTCAGTGGAAGTATTAATAAAAGGACATGTCTTTATTTCTCTTCATTTGAAGCATGGCTTTTAGTTTCACAGTCTGAGCAGTGTTGTACTGCTGTGTACATTAATAGCTTTTTAAAACACAGAGCTTTAACATTTTTCTCTTTCTTTTTTCCTCCCTCTTAGTTAAAATTAATAATTGAAAATTCTCATTTGTTAAAATTGCTTATCAGAAAGATTTCCAGTTTTATTTCGCTTATCTTGCTCAATTCCTTCAAGAGTTTCAAATTACAGCTTTTTGTCCCATTATTAAACAGCATTTTACAGAATTATAAAGCCCTCCAGGACTGTTTGAGTAAGACCACTTATATGTGTTCACATATAATTCAATACTGTTTCAGATCCTAGTGCATAAATGTTTTTTTGATATTCTTCAGTTATAATGTAAATATATCTAGTTTATCATAGAAAGTCATATATGAAGGCCCCCTGATAACTTGGGCAGATAACCCTAGTGTGCTTCCCAGTGCTCTGTTAAAGAAAGAAACAAACAAAAAATTATGATAGTAACCAGAATTATTATATTTTATAATAATTTAGTTGCAAGTTTGAAAACTTGCGTAAAAAATAAACTGTATAGAAATTGGAATTGTTGGTACTCTTCTGTTATTGGGACGGAATTCAGAAATGTATGTATGTATGACGTCCGAACATATATATGTGTGTGTATAAGCACACACATACCCACATACGTATATACATACATTTTTTAATGAGGGTGTGATAACAGAAGGGTACCAAATTATTAAATGATAATATTAAATTATTAAAATAAAAGCTACTTTAATGTGAAATACATTTTTAAAAAGCATTATTTATTGTGTGAATATGATTTTTTTAGAAAAGTTTGCATTTTAGAACATATTTCAAAATAAGCTTCTCTAAATGGAAAAGAAATAATGCTTAAATATTTATAATACAAAAAAGGCCTATTGTTTTAATTTTTGTTAATTGTCAAACAACTAAAATCAAATTGCCTTAAAATTTCTTTCTAATGTAACTAATACAAACTTGCAAAAGCATGTCATTCACTTTTAAATTATGTTATGTATTTGTAAAAGCAGTAACATTTGATTCCCTATAAAATGAAAATAATTTTAAAAAGCAATACCTCTCATTGTTAATATTCTGATATATTAGTATATATATAGAAAGAAAATGTATGCATTTATGCTTATATTTAAGGTATAATTAATGCTTTTCTCTACCTCCAAACTAATATAAACTTATATTGCTCAGTGGTAAATGACTGAAGCCAACTAGAAGTACCGAAATTTAAAATTAGGCAAAAATGCAGTGTTTGTTTGGTTTTTTTTCAGTGGCAAAAACTCTTTGTTTGCCTTCTTAAAGAGGAAAAAACTGTGTCTTGCTCTCAAAATTTATAGAATTTTATTCAAAATCTACAACAAATTAAGGCTGTTTCTTTACTTAATTTTAAATGACTGAATGTTTAAGTATCAAAGGGGTGTCTTGTTACTTCAAGGAAATGCATAAGAGAAAATGAATACTTTCTGATTATGTGTAACCACCCTGAAAGTCAGCAACTTCTTAATAACTCATTTTCACCAGGCTAATATGTGAGAGGCAACAGGAATTTTGAAAATAGTGGAGCATTAAAAATTACATAAATGAATTAATAAAATAATAATGTAATCAACTAATAAGTCTATAATAATTTGATCAATAAAGTAATTAAATTAAGTACAAGAAACATCCATAACAAAACACATTTCTAAAAAAATTCTTATATAGATTTGTGTGCTATTGTTCTCCCTATGTTTACAATGATTGTTGTTGCTTAAAAAAACATCAGAGACTTGCACAAATTTGGAATTTTGCACACTGTTGTTTTCCAATAAGCAGAGTGTTCTGTTTATGCTTAAAAAAATTGTCAGAGAATTTTAGAAATTTGGCATTGGTGCACAAATTTTGATCCTTAAAGTTCCATTGTTTATGAAGTACAACTTCATGGAATGAAAATTTTGCTCCCTCTACTGTTGGGTAAACTATCATATTTCTGGAAAAAAATTTTTTTTTTTTTTTTAACTGACGAATTCCACAATCCCACTACAAGAAAAAAAAATCACTCAGTGTAACAAAGCAAACACTAATGACAGATTTAAAGGTGGACATCCATGCTCATTTGTGGCATGGGTACTTATACCTAAGTTGCCACGTAAATATATTTTGGCAATATTTTAAGGGAGGTGCAGATAATCTAAAAATACCAGAACTGGTTAGGGCCTTTTCTCAGTTTAGAGTGGTACCAATTGTACCATCTGTAACGGAGTTTGTTACTGTTATACTTATGTGTGCATAAAACTGTTTCTTTTTTTTTTTTTTTAAACCCAGAAGAGCTGTTACTTTTGTGGTAAAAATTTACTCTACGTACCTCTTGGCAAATCGTTTCTTTTTCGACACCAAGATCAGCGCCAGGAGGTGCAAGTAATCTAAAAATACCAGAATTGGTTGAGGCCTTTACTCTGTTGCTTAGAGTGGTACCAATAGTACTATCTGTAAGGGAGTTTGGCACTGTTGTAATTATTGTTTGCATAAAACTTTTTTTTTTTTTTTTTTTTTTTTTTTTTTTTTTTTAAGCCCAGAAGGGCTATTACTTTCATGGTAAAAATTTACTCTACGGTACCCCTTGGCAAATCGTTTCGATTTAGAGTGGTACCAATTGTACCATCTGTAACGGAGTTTGTTACTTTTATAATTATGTGTGCATAAAACTGTTTCTTTTTTTTTAAAACCCAGAAGAGCTGTTACTTTTGTGGTAAAAATTTACTCTACGTACCTCTTGGCAAATCGTTTCTTTTTCGACACCAAGATCAGCGCCAGGAGGTGCAGGTAATCTAAAAATACCAGAATTGGTTGAGGGCTTTACTCTGTTGCTTAGAGTGGTACCAATAGTACTATCTGTAAGGGAGTTTGACACTGTTGTAATTATTGTTTGCATAAAACTTTTTTTTTTTTTTTTTTAAGCCCAGAAGGGCTATTACTTTCATGGTAAAAATTTACTCTACGGTACCCCTTGGCAAATCGTTTCTTTTTTTGCCTCAAGATCAGTGCCAGGAAGGATGGGTGGCAATTTCAAGATGGCCACTACCCAAAACCAAAATAAGAAGTCAATGTACATATCAACATATTTTCACTTAAAAAAACATCAGAAAATTGCACAAACTAGGCATTGCATACTGCCTTAACTTTTCCATGTACACATCGATCTATTTTCACTTAAACAAAAGTAGTACTTTTCTGTATAATCAGTAAAGAAATATGTCATTGTGAAATTAGACAAAAAGAACCTTAGATTGGGAAAGATTTTGATTCAGACTTTATCAATTTCAAAAGTAATCAGACTTAGATCTCTACCTTCCAAAAAAAATTCTTGTTATTATTAATGAGGAGTGGCAATTTTTTATGAGCTAAGTTAAATGTATGAGCACTATCTGTGAAGGAACTGATTTGATTTGTTTTTAAATGTATATTTCTCCTGATCATCAATTTGTATAATCTTTATTTGAATATCTAACCCCTTTTTTTATGTTTTGTTTTTATTTCCTGTCAATGAGGGATATTTTGTATGAAAATTAAGAAATGTAAGTTCAAGATAGCAGATTGCGTGTTTGATACAAAATTTAACTTCTTTTTACTTGTAATAAGCATCCCTAAGTACTGACTTTTAAATTACTGAGATATATATTCTGGTAAAAGTAATGTATTTTTTCTCTCTCTTAACAGGGTATGGTTGTTTGTAAGTTGTGGACACATTGCTGCAGCAGAATATTAATTCATGTGGAGAGCGCCTGTTGTGTCAGTAAGGGACATCGTCTGCCCCATATTGAGGAAAGGGGCATAGTTGCCACGAGTGTGCACCATTAATTTCGATGGCTTTTACTGGGAGTATGGGGAGGTGGTGGAAGCTGCATTCCCATCCCAAAACGCTGAAAAAACAATCGGCACAGTGGTGCTTGGTGCAGCAAGCAGGATGCAAAATGGAGGAGGTTTCTGCAGGAAAGTGTTCGCTTTTTTTTTCGTGAAAGCCGGAATTCCAAATATGAGCAGTAATACTGCGCAGTTGACTGTCCATGGGGATAATGCATTAGGATGACACCAAGTTACAATAAACCATAACTATGTTCAATACGGGGGCGGGGTGACGAAAATTTCGAACTATTGGTGACCCGTGATGAGCCATTCGTTTTGACAGTGGTGTTTCAGTTCTGGGCTGGTGATCAGGCAAGTCTCATTCCAACGATATGGAACGTCGCATAAAATGTAGCAGCGCCTGCGCTCCAGGTGGGTTGATAGTATCGTAGCATTCCGGCATTCCGTCAATTGGTGAGGAACAATTTGGAAGCATGCAGGCGGTTCCTTCAGAATATGCAGCCACAGTCACAAGGGCCTGTTTGGTTCGGCCATGCTGATAAATCGTTTGGCGGCAATCTCTGTCCAAATGCGGCAACAGCTTTGCTGCGCATCGCTGACACTTCGTTGGACGACGGCGGCGCAGCCGTGTCTGCCACGTTTCGGCGTCCTTGATTGAATGCTTTCACCCATCTTCTACAGTTCTGTAAGGGCATGCAGGTGATCCCCGCAACCTCTTGACCCTTGATGACAGGGTGGCGTACATTACTGCTCGTTAAGCTCCTTCGCGCTCAACGCTCCAGGTGGGCAGCATCATTCTTAGGTCATTTCTGCATTCGTCAATTGATGTTGGAAACCATCGTGAAGCAATTTTTCTCATGGGACAGGCGTTCCTTAAGAGTATGCAGCCAGTATAGCGCTAATCCTGGTCAAGTGATAATCGTTGCGGAAATCTCTGTCCATTATGCGGCAACAGCTTTCCGCGCTGGAAACTCGGACGCCTGGCAGCAGCATGCACGTTTTTGGGTCCTGATTGACTCTTTTCTACAGTTCTGTAAGGAAAGATTCCCCGCAAGCTTTGAAGCCCTGGTGACATTCGTGCGTCCCGGCAAAAATTTTTATCTAATGGTTCTTGTTGTGAAAAAATCCTGACAACACAAGGGGGACGCGAGCTAAACAAGGATTCATTCTTTGCCACAGCATGCGAATAATAGGAAGGACGAGTCTTTTGAGAGGTAAGGTAGGTATGTAGTTTACGTGTGGTGTATGCAAATTCTTTGGTTTTGTTGCGTAGCGTTTTTTAGCTGTGTTGCACTATTAAAAACCCTTGTTATGGAATAAAAAACATATTTGGTAAATTTTTGCCAAATAAATATAAAAAAACACTTTCAATTAATGCCATTTTCCCCCCGGTTTCTAATGTGCCCATTGAACAGGCAGCATTGCAATGCTTGAATTCAAACTCCTTTTGATGCAAAAAAAAATTGAAAAGTTCATAGGGTGACATTCTGTTTAGAATTTTATTTTTTCAGCAGCAGATGGCACAGATAAGTGAAATCACTTGGGGCAATATCTGGGGAGTTAACTAATTAACTGCACAATTCCTTCATCTGTGGCAATTTTTTGCCCTCATTAGCTGTTTCTAGTCTAGCCTATTTTTTATTTTCATGACTAATGCTCTTAAAGCAGCTTGTTGTTTCCTTTGTGATAGATAGCTCAGGCAGAATTTCTCACACAATTTTCAAAATTCAACATTGTATGCCTTACATTGGGTGCCTCTTAAATTATATTATTTCAAATTTAAGAAGCTGCTCTCAAAATATTAATGGTGCTGTTCTCAACGGTTCTTGTTTGAGTAGGAGGCTGCCTGATTTTGGCCGTTATTCAATCCTCAATTTATTGTGCAATGTTCTGCATCACTCTAAAAAAAGTTGGAATCAAGGGGCGTCGTCATTTAATAGTTGATGAAGTTCGATCTCCTGCCCATGCAGGCCTTCATGTCCTTATTGTTATTGGACACAAAAAAAAAGTGGGTGGTAACGTCTGAGGGGAGTTGTGCTGCTTGTGTGTCATTGCGAGGCATATCTGAATCCATCTCAGGTATTATCTCTTAGTATCTAATTCTATTTTAATTTGGTTTTGGGGGAAAACATTCTCTTTTATTAGAATTTATTCTGATCTAGCTGGAGTCAAATTGCAGCTTTATAAGAATTTTCTTTTAACCATTGCATGGGCAACGTTTTTGTTGCTGCACATTAGTTGATAGGTGACAAGTGATTATCCACCTGATTAAACGTATTAGTAAAGTAAATAATTTCAAGTGTTTCGTAAGAACACAACAATAACGTTCAGCTCTGAAAGGCACCCACCGGGCAAAAATTTTCAACATACAGGTTGCAAAGTTTGCAACTGAAAGGCAACAACCATCAAAAATTCAAACATTGGTTGCAAACTTGCAATATTCTAAGGAAACATGTATCACCCGCTAATCTTAAATTTCAAAATATTATGAAAAAATTAATTCTTAATCTAAATAAAATCACAGATTTCTGTTTAAATAGTTTTTTACAAATAGGTGAGATTAAATTCTTTAAGGTTATGTAATATGGAAAAAATTGATGGTAAAAATTATATAATATAATCTGTCTAAAAATTATGAAAAATTGTTAAGTATGAAATGCTTTGATGAAAAAATAGAGTAAAATTATTTTATTCAAAAATTATTGAAATGTTCAAGAAAAGGACAATGAATAAAATGTTAATAATAATCATATATGCAAGTCACACTTTTATACTACTTTCATATTGTTAAATTAATTATGTAATATATAATGTGAACATAGATTGCTTTTTATATATTCTTTATAAGTTTGTAAAATAAGCAGTAATTGAAATTAATTAAAAAGCAAAACTCATATTTAAAAATCAGATGAATTAAAGAGATTAAAAGTGATACTAAGTTTAAATGAAAGGTTTGAAAATAAAGTAACTTAATGATATAAATTGTAAATGAACTTAATTTTTGTATTAATAACTGGGAAATAACTTAGTTCTTATGCCGATGATATATATTTGAAAACCATTCTGCTGTTTTACATGTGCACAGTACTTTTTTTTTTTTTCCCCCAGACAGCAGTATATTTTTGCATGTTATTTTTTCAGAGACCTATGTATCTCATAAATACAAAATTGATTGCATTATTCTTTAATGAATAAAATCTAAATCTGTTTAGTTAAAATATTTGCCTTAAAATTCTTGGCACTTTCTGATAATCTGCACTGTTCTGAAAAGTATTCACGAGGCAACATGCTATATCACAAAAATAGACAACAATGTCACCAAAATGTATTTATGTAGATACCCAAGTATGCAGGCATAGCTAGACATTAGCAGTTTTGTTGCATTTTTGGCATTTGTTAGTGTTTGTCCTTTTTTTTCCTTGTAAGAATCATAATGGGACTGTGGAGCTTGCCATCTAATGAAAAAGAAAGTGGTACATTTCTTTAGGCATAGAAACAGAGAATGCAAAAATTTGCATTAAGGTTATACTTAGTGTAATACTAGAACTTTATTCCTATAATCATAACAGACATGTAGTGACTTATCGCTATGTCTGAGACAGTCGGATGAAGTTTACAGAGGTTTTAAAACAGCCTTTTCATTTAAACTTTGACTATAAGGGCAGAACTTTGTGCTACAGATAACCACAGCTTGTAGCGATGCAAATAAATAAGCAGAATCAAATAAATTAAAAATATTGATCAGTAGTCTAAGGCTACACAGTTGAATACTAAGCAACAAGCTGGCTCAATAATTTATCACTGCATCAGTTTAAAGTATTGAATGTGGGAAAATCTAACCATGCAGCTTACATTCCAGAAACACTCTCTATCAAGCTTCAACAACCTCAGCTTGAATACACAACCAACTAATTTGCATTCTGGTAAAGGATTGCAGAAAGAAGAAGTTACAGTAAAGGTCCAAATAATAATAACTGATTAGTTTAAAATAAGAACCTTACACACATTTCATGAAGTTGTACTACATCAAGGATTGCATTTCATGGATTAAAATTGTGCACTGATGCCTACTTCATGCAATTCTCTGATTCTTTTAAGTGAAAACAGATTATGATGTACATAGGGAGAACAATAGTGTGTTGCAATACTGAGTTTCTGTATTCTTCAATTTTCGTTTTTAACCTTTTAACTGTCAAGTTATTTTGATGATTTGGTGCATAAATTGTCAATTTTGTTTTATTTCAAAAATGAAATGTTTGCCTCATAGTCAAAAAAATCAAAAAAATGCTGCGCACTTTGAACTTTAACCTCTATCCTTTGAAACCTTCGGTAAAATGCTGCCATCTGTTGAACTGAAGCCGAAATAAACTTCTCGCGATATATATTAGGGTATAACAATACGGTGCACCCAAAAAAAATTAGCCCGAGTAATACTTCGGGCCTGACATTTGGAATACCAGTGCTGTGCCCGAGATTATTTTGGGCATGACAGATAAAAGATTAATCTAAAACAGATTGATGTGTGGTATATGAGGAGAAGGAGCCAAAAAAAAGTATAATTATGGGTATTTTTTGTTATTTTACTTGTATTAATACACTGTTATTTAATGTAATTCTTAGTGCACCACTATTTTTAAAAACAGCTGTTGTCTTGTGCATCTTAGCCTGGCAAAATATTAATAACCAGCAGTTTGTGACTTTTTAGGATGCGAGTGTGGATAATCAGAAAGTACCAAAATTTTTTACAGGCATAGAAAAAAGGAGTAAAATATTGCTGAAAAACAATTTCAATTTATAAGCCTGTTTCTTTCAAAAATAATAATAGAAAATAACACATTAAATGCATTAACTTCAAAAATAATGTAGAGAATAACTCATTAAATGCATATATGATTCATTTTTGTAATTTAAAAATGCCAATTTTAGTGCATTTTCTCAAAAAGTAGCATTCTTGTATTACCAAAGTAAATATTCTCCAAAGTAAATATTGTGGGATATTTCAATATAATTTTTCAACCAGGTAATTGATTTGCATGAAGTGCAACCAGAGAAAGGTCTTCAGTGGTGTAAATTAATTACTGCTCATGTCTGCCGCATTTTAGTTGCTGGAGGTGATGGTACTGTTGGCTGGGTTCTTAATGCAATAGACAGCTTAAAGATTGAAGTAAGTTTGTTTATTAGTAAATACTGCAATTTTATTATTCTGTGTAAGATTTGTGCTTCTAATTTTAAACATAAAATTATCTGATTTTTAAGATTTCAAATGTATAGAGAAAATTAAGTGCAAAAACAATAAAATATACCATTGTTAAAATTTTCTTCTTTCAATTAATAATATGTGTAATTTAAAAAAAAATTATTAATGGTAGATTTTTATGGGATCCCATGAATTGTTAAAATGTTATATAAGTAATTTTTGATTTAATTTTCAAAAAGTGCTTTTAATATTTAAACATTTCTGAATCCAAATGATATCAGGAATTCAATGCATTACTAAGAATTCAGTATATGTATTGAGGTTATAGGATGGTATTATTAAAATTCCAGCATTTTGTACTGAACAAGTAATTTATTTATTTTTTAGTGCAAAAATTTTACTTATTTTTATTACTGCAAAAATGTATTTGTGTACACAATATAGTTGTATTTGTATTATCATTTAGCAATTTTATTATATTCTCAAGAGAAATTTTAGTGGAAATAAGAGATTATTGTTGGATGTTTTCACAAAATATGTCATTTTAATATGATATGCAATTTACATGAATTTGTTGGCTAATAAAAATCTTATAGGTGTTCAAAAGAAATGAAAAACATAAAAATGCTTATATGGTTATACTTGATGTGGTAATGATCCTATAATAGATGTGAAGCAAGTGATTGCTGAGACATATATATCTGATATCATATCCATCTGAGATAAGTTTTAGGTTATAAACAACCTTTTTTTATTTAAACAGAACTTGGAACATAATGTCATGCTCTTGTGCTACAATAACCACATTATGATGATGTAAATAAAGAGATGGTCAAACTTAAATGAAACACTGGACAACAGTCAAAGACTATGCAATTAAATACTAAATTAGCAGCTAGCTCAACAAATTTACCATTGCATCAGATTTAAAATATCGACAGCAAGAGACAACAAAGCCAAATAATTATAACTGCTAGAGCTGGCAGAAACTAACCATGTAGCATGTAAATGCCAGAAACACTGTCTGCCACAAATCCGAAAATATCACCATAAATACTCACAACTAATATGCATTCTGCTGAGGAATACAAAAGGAGAAATTATAATAAAAACCAAAATCATAGCAACTAGTTAATTTAAAATAATAACCTTACATCCATCCTTAAGTAATTGCAGTGAAGGTCTATAATAAACTTTCTAAGATTTTAAATTCTAAATCTACAACATGAGACAATTTTTAAAGTCATCAAACTAAATGTTTAAGACTAAATTTAAGCTTTTACAGAAATTTGGATTTTCTTTGGGCAAATTTCATGCCATGACTGTTTAGTTCTTATCTCATCTCCTTCCAGGAATCTGGAAAGAAAAATAGTTTATCAAAAAAATATTAACATTTATATTTTTCAACTTGCTACTTATAATTTCCTCCAGTGGCAGCTCGTAATAAGCACTGTGGAACTGCAGCATCCCCATTCCACTTATTCTTTTTTTAATATTTAATATAGTGTGCTCTTTAGTCTTTAATTCTTTCTTTATACTTTTACAATACATAACCCTTAAGCTTAAAATGTCAATAGCCATCCCAGTATACGAAACTGATAAAAATTCTCTTGAGAGTTCCCATAGCTACATCAGAGGCAGAATGCTGCATTTCAACATTGAAAGAAAATGAAAACTTTTTTAAGGAGCACTAGGAATTCAGAAAGACTAAATGCCCTTGCATTGCTTTCAATAAAGAAAAATTTCCTCAGTTATCATCCAGAGATCAAGGAGAAAATTATTCATCTTTTCGCGCAAATTAATACAAGAAGAATAGATTTCATTTTAAAATGACTAGATAAAGTTTGAACTGTAACAATTTAGGTTAAAATAATTAAGAAATGTTTAATTTTTTCCTTGTAAGATTTCATGAAGTTTCAAAATAAATTTTCTTTTTATACATGTTTGTTTCCTTTTACACAATTTTAAAACAAAGGTTAAATTTTTTTGGAACAGCACCCCCACTAATTTTAGCTACGAGCCGCCACTGATTTCCTCAAAACTTTTCTAACATTTTCCTTTCTCTAAGCTCAGTTTCTCATTCCTACTCTCCAGCATTGTAATATGTGAAAATGTATAGAGTTTCAATAAACTACCTGCTAATCAAAATCCTATATTATTAATAGTAGCTTAGATACACTAGACCTCAATAACATCCTATTTTAAGACTGCATACCTAATGTTCTAAGCTTAATTTTTGTTAAATCTCTAAGTATTGGCTAACTTTGTGTTAGAGATCCTAGCTTATTAAATTCACTATGCTAGATTTTACTTTAATTCAACTCATTATCATTTGCTAGCTCTTAAATTTACCAGTTAACAAACATACTGTATAAAAAACATTAAGCTTCACTGGCATTGAAAAGATTACTCAGTTTGAAATTTACACCACAATATACAGAAGTTGCTAGTACCTATTCTGAAATAGTGCTGAAATTTTTTTCAATACATTCACATTTTTTTCAATCTCTTGGACTAAAATCACATTATTTTGTTTACCTAAAACTAAGAATCCTTCAAGACAGATACATAATTAAACTGAAAAAGCTTCTTCCTGAATAAAATTAGGCAAAACTCAAAATAATAGCGACTGTTGCACTAAAACATTAAATCAACTGAATATTTAAAGAAATGAAATAGTTTTTACGTATCTTTGTTTGTTTGGAACTCTTCCGTTCATTTCCAAAGAAACTCCTGCCAGAACGGGAAGGCACTAATGTGGTTAACACGAATTTTTCTCCTGGGCTGCTAACTAGCCGGCTTGTTCAGTGGTCGCCTGCATTTCTATGAATGGTCTTTTTTATGTATAGATTGCTGCTGGGTTATGTAAATTCTGGCATAGCCAGTCATTTTCTTACTAAATGATGTGCTGTCAAAACCTCTTCTGGTTCGCCTAGAACTTCGGCCATTGGCCTGGCTTATCATCAGTCACCCATTTGCAGCATAAATTCTGAAATGACTGACCTGACCTTTTTTCTGTCATTGTAAGCCTTGTTTATAGCTGGGCCATCTTGTTTGTTTACTTCCCAACAGTTGTTGTTTATAACTTGGTTGGTATGAGGAATCTGTACTTTTCTTTGACTTTTGTATAAATTCCTTGTTTGTTTGTTTTTTTAACCCCCCCTTTTTTTTAAGCTTTGCTGTTTGAAAACTCCTTGAGCATTTATTTATTTATTTATTTTTCTTTAATTTTCCCCTTCTCCAGCCTTCTTAGTTTCCTTTGCGGATCTTGTATTCCGAATGTTTAAACTGTATCTGCTGTATTCCTAGATGGCCGACCAGTGGCTGAGCAATAAAGTCTCTGAACACTAAGGTTAGCTGAACACTAGTTAGGTCCAAGATTCGAATCTGTGAATGGGCTGGCTGCATGGACGTATTCATGGTTTTCTTCACATGTAACATGTAGTATATGTGCTAGTTTTCCTTAGAAAGTCCTCCACAAAGGCATTTAAGCAGATAGCCCTCGAGTACTTTGCCATAATCAAATAAACCAAACCTAGATGGCCCTTCATTGCTCACACTAGGTGATTCCCAAAAAACAACTCTTAGCTTTGGCATACCAGCACGCTCAAAATAATGCTTGATATGGTGTACATTTGCTTTTGTATTTTCACCAGTTTGACCTTTCAGAAACACCACCATTTCCCTCCCTTATTTGCTCATTTAAAATGGGCCCTTGAACTTATTACGAACTTCCCAACCTAGAAAGAGAAAGTTTAATCTTCAATACTTTATCTCTCACCTTAAAAACAACTTTCCACCTTTTCTTGTCATAATATAAGTTATGTTATGTTTGGGCTGTTTCTGAATTTCTAATTACCTCATCTGCTAATTTCTAGGTGGTTGCCATCCTAAATTATGCAGACTTCTTTTGAACAAAAGAAAAGTTTATCAAGGGGCATAATTAACTTTCTGCCTAGAAATAATTCAGCCGGTGTCTTCCCAATATCATCATGTACTGCTATCTTCAAGGCAAATGAGAATTCATTGACTGTGCATGATAAGAAACTATCTTAAAATATTGCATGCCAGGATCTGTGTACAGAATTGTTTTCCATAGTCTGATATTATTTTAAGGGAAGCTTCATTTATTTAAAAATGTATTTGCAACACTTATAGGAAAGCTGTTTTGATGGGAATTATTTCTGTCCACTTTGAGAAATAATCAGTGATTAAGACAAGTATGTATTTTTATTTTTTCACTACGTGGGTAGGAACCTAACATGGCAATTTCCATTATTTCATTATGGAAAATAGTTTTTATGCTATTTAGGCATCCCACCAGGCTATAATTAACATCATTAACTTACTGGCAAATGTTACAGGACTTATTACAAATCAAGGTTTCAAGGTTTGTGACTCAATATGACAAATGTTACATATTGAGTCACAAACTTTTATAGCTGTAGAATATAAAGAACTTCCCTTATTCTCTGGATCTTATTCTGAGATGTTCTGAAATTGACACGTCATGCAATTCCTCTACCTGCTATCCTACTTGCATAAGCATGGCCCTTACTGCAAAAGCCAATGCCTTTGTGGAGATTTCTAATTTGGCATCCACTTCAGGAAATTTCAAAATGGAGCTTGTATTATATTAATGCCACTTTAAGACTGTCAAATGCTGTATTTGTTACTGCTGTAGTGAACCTGGTCTTCTTTTTTTTTTTTTTTCTTTTTAAATTTAACAGTGGCTGCTTTTTAAGTTTAATATTGGCTAGTTAACATTATTTGAATAATCTTAGCATTGGGCTTCTTCCTTTATAATAAGTTTGCGAATTAGATTTTCTGCAAAATAAAATCAGTTAACTCTTCAGCCTTAGTTTGTTGCTTATAGTTTCATTTTATCTTTCACCATCCTGCTGGAATGTACATACTGAGTTATTAGTACGAGGGCCATCCAGGAAGTAGATTACGTTTCCGTCTGTGTCCGCTAGGGGCGGGGCTAGCGCGGCCATCTTGGGGTCAGAGCGTTGCGCAGCTCAGTCTGCATCTAGCCGTGCTAGTGAGAGGTTCGTGCTGTGCTCCGTTCAGATACTGTGACGGTTTGAAATGTCTGCGTTAATTGAAAATCCCGCGAGCTGCGCTCAGTAATAAGGTTTCTGACTGCAAAAAACTGTAAACCGATAGAAATCTATCGGCAGCTTTCGTGAAGTGTATGGGGACAAAAACATTATCACTGAAGGTGGAGTGCGTCAGTGGGTCATAAGATTTCAAAATGGCCGAACCAATGTTCACGACGAAGATCGAAGTGGGAGACCCAGCATAGTGACCGCCGAACTTCTCAAAAAAGTCGATGCTAAAGTCCGTGAAAATCGAAATTTCACAATAACGGAACTTTTCTTTGAGTTTTTCCACAAATTTCGCGAAGTTTGTTGCACGAAATCATCAGTGAAAAGCTTGGTTACCACAAGTTTTGTGCAAGATGGAAGGCAAGAAGAGGTAACGAAGTGGTTGAAGGCGCAGGCGGCCGAATTTTTCGACGAAGGAATTTCCAAGCTCGTACATCGCTACGATAAATGCCTTAATTTGTATGGTGACTATGTAGAAAAGTAGTATTTGAGTGTGGCTTTCATCTGTATATAATAAAATTTGTTTCCTATACTTTGTTTATTTTTTTATTCCAAAACGTAATCTACTTTCTGGATAGCCCTCGTATTTTACTATGGCAGCATTCTGGGACAAACAATAAGTTGAGTTTAGTGCAAATTTAAAATCTGTCACCGGTAAGTTTGGCACTGGCAGAAGTAAACAGAGAAACTTATATCACAAATGGTGGCTTTTTGGGCCTTTCTTAATACGGTGGATGTCAGGAGTGGAGCAGGACGTGTAGTGCCTCAGTTCAGTGTGGCAAAATACATGTTATCATTCACCATGAGGCATGCTTTCACAAGGGTGGTTTAACCCCTTAATCTACAATGACAGGCAGAGCCCGTGTACGATGGTCAGGCCAAACCTAACTTTCATGGGCATAGCCGGCGTACGATGGTCGGACCAAACCTAACTTTCACGGGCATAGCCCGCGTGCGGTGATCGGGCCAGAAGTGAATATTACGTGGAATATTTCATACGCAATTACAGTCTGATGCAATAATTGTGGTAGATGCAAGTATTACAAAATGTTTATTTATACAAAACTCCAAAATACAAAATTAGTAATCTGTAATGGTATGATATATTTCAAAGCATTCTGGTACATGTAACGGAACTTTACACTTTTTACACTTGTGGTCTATGTGGATTATCTCGTACTTGATCTGCATACTGATTCGTTTGGTTACAATAATGTTCCAAAATATGTCATCAAATATTAGATTAAATATATCAAATTCTCCTCTACTTCCTCCTAATTGACATAAAGCTTCCTCTCTTATGCCAGGAGTCATCGTATAGTCCCAGATTTTTAGACTATTTCTTATTTCTTTCCAAAGCCAGGACTCTGGTAGTTAATCGTCATTGGATGTATCATCAATAATTATTCACCTATACTTTCTTCGAAAATTACATAATTCGTCATGTTTACGATTGCCCGGATTAGCATGTTACACAAGTCGTGCAAATGTCCCGAACTCTGCACGAGCTTGTATACAATTTCGGCCCAACATCTTCGAATCTAAATCATAGGTTAAGGGGTTAAAGGACTTCCAATTTACAGCTCTCACTTCGAGGTTTACCCAATAAAAATTTATTGATGCCTTTGTACTAGCTCAGTACCTGTTCTCGAAGTGCAGCAGTTGCTATAAGGACCTTCAGTAATTCTGAAGTCAGGTAGAGTTAAAAGTGAGTTTTTAATGGTTCTTAAAATGGTCACTACTGAACTTCTACAATCAAAAGTAATAGTTGTTATCTTCACCTTGTGACATAGTCCATTAATTTGTTTGGGTGCCTCTTATATAGGTTATACTTTATCTGGTAATGCTACTTTAGTCCTATAACCTTAACAGATATGAAGTGAATTATCACTATGTCTGAGATAAACATAATAAGGTTATAAACAACCTTTTTTATTTAAACAAAAACTAAAAGTACTTAAACTCTTTTATTTAAACAAAAACAGAAGCTAAAAAATAAATAAATAAATAAATAAGAGTATAAAAGGCATACTCTTATGCTACAACAACCACAATTTCTGGTGATAAAAATAAAGAGAACAGTCAAATTTGAACTAAATGTTGAACAGTAGTCAAAAACTACACAGTTAAATTCTGAACTAAAAGCTGACTCAACAAATGTACTGGGGCTCAGATTTAAAGTATTCTCAGCAAGAGACCGCAAAGCCAAATAATTATAACTTCTAGAGGTGGCAGAAACTAGCCAGGTAACATGAAAATGCCAGAAACTCTATCACAAATCCAAAAACCTCAGCTTAAACACTCACAACTAATCTGCATTCTGGTGAGGAATACAGAAAGGAAAAATTATAATAAAGACCAAAATCATAGTAACTAGTTAATTTAAAATAATAACCTTACATCCTTCCTTAAATAATTGCAATGAAGGTCTTTAATGACCTTTCTAAGATTTTAAATTCCAAATCTGCATCATGAGACAATTTTTACAGTCATCAAGTTAAATGGCTAAGATTAAAATTAAGCTTTTATAGAAGTTTGGATTTTCCTTGGGCAAATTTCATGCCATAACTGTTTAGTTCTTATCTCATCTTCTTTTCATTTGCATTCTGGTGTGGAATACAAGAAGCAGACGTTACAGTAAAGACTGAAATCATAATAGCTGATTAATTTAAATTAATATCCTTGTATTCTATTTTCTTACTTTAGAAAATTAAATATTCAGTTTAATAATTTTATGCTACTTGAAGATTTATTAAATAAAAAACATAATTAATTTTTCTGATGACTTACATGTATTGGTTTTCACAATTTTTTTTCATTTATTAATTCAGTCTCTTGAGCTGTTTTTTATGTATTAATTCAGTCTCTTAAGTTATATTTGAATGAAATAGCTTAATTATTTTACTTGTTTAGATCATGTCTATCTTTAATGATGCCTTCTGCTGCGCCTTCTTTTCCTTGCAAAAAATAAGTCTTATTTATTTAGTGTTGAAGTCTTATTTATTTATATGCAATTCAATTAACAATATAGATATATATCAAAAGCATAAGTATAAAAACTTAAGTACTCTAATAATTATTCAATATCAGCAAGCCAGAAAATATATAGTGCATATCTAAAGATGAAATACTTTGCTCATAATGCATTTGTGTGCAATTTATTAAATGTAATTCTGTTGTTAATAAATTATCAATTATTTCAGTTACTTTAGTAACTGGTTTACCATTTTCAGCCTCAGCCACAAATCTGCATCTTACCATTGGGTACTGGCAATGATTTGTCTCGCGTTTTAGGTTGGGGTTATTGCTTTTCTGGAGAAGTTGAAGTGCGAAAAGCTTTAGATCAGATATCAGCAGCTACAGAAGCCAGATTAGATAGGTAAGTGCAGCAAATTTGTATTTATAATTTGTAAAATAACTCATTGTATAAAATAATAATGGATACACACAACTTCCAATTAATTGTAGGTAGATTAATGGTAAAAAGATAAAAGAAAGAAAGAAAAGTTTTTTTATTGTGGAATGTTGATAAATTATTATTACAAACTGTCAGTGTAAAACAAAACTACTGTCTAAAGAAAATACAGAAATAAAAAGAAAATTGTGTGGCATAGCTATGGTGATAGCAACTGATATCTATTATTTGTGATTTGTTTTTATCCACCAAAGTTCATAATTTAATTATATTGCTTAATAACCCATTGTGCAAGGGGGGAGTCTTGTGTTTTAAATGAGTTTGAACCTGATGGCATTTTTCAAGTTCAGTTGTAAATACTGTTCCTCAGTGCTATTTGTAACTTTATTTCTTCATTTCGAATGTCCATTTTCATTTTATCATTTTTCTCATTATTTATGATGTACTTTGTTTTGAATACTGATTTAATTCATTTAAACAAATAAACTTATGCTCCAAATTAAACTACTGGAAAATGCAGGTGAATTGTAACAGAATTCAGTAACTCTTAGGTTTATGATAGGTTATTCCTCTTTCCTGTGTTTCATTTAAGTGCCCTCGGATTAGCCCTGGATAGTGTCCTGGTTATTAATCCTGTAAATCTGGAGTTGACCGCAGTAAATTCACTTGAATGTACCCTTATGCAAGGTATACCTTTTATACTTTTTAAGGGTTCCTTTTTCTTTTTGCTTACAAAAGCATGCCTTTTCCCCCTTTTTTTGGGGGGGCATACCTGGATGTGTATGTTTAATGTGTAGTCTCCTATTTTTTATTTGCCTTTTGTAGAAGTTTCTAAAACGTTTTAGGTATTTAGAGTGGAAATGTGAAAAATCAGCTGTACCATCATAAAAAATGAAATCGTAACTTGTCCATTTCTTGATAAGATATGATAACCTACAGAAATATATGTAGGAGGAATGTGATAATTCCATATAAGTTATTTTAAATTTGAACCAGAGGAATAGTTCTTCCTTATGCAAGTATGAAAGAAATAAGTATCATTCTCGTAATGTTAACTGCTGGGCATTAGAGCTTCATTCTTGTATAAATTCTTATTTAATTTACTGCTGTTATAATGCAGTTGATGGTATTTTTCAGTATGTAAATATAATTTCTATTAGTCAGTATTACGATTTTATAATGTAACTCACAGAAATTGTAATTTATTAAAAATAATGAAGGGATTGTGATTAATAATTTATAAAATTCATGTATCTGAATTATATTTTCGTGACTTCAACATTTCACTCTGCAACATCATTTGGAGTCATGATCTCCAGTTTAAGAAACACTGTTTTAGATATTTTAAAGGGGCAACATATGCTATATATAATAAGATAATTTAGATTGAAGTAATAATAAAACAGATTTTCAGCTATTCTTGAAGAAAACATGCTGTATTTTCTCTTTCTTAAGCTGTGTTGACATTCTTTCAGTCAATAAGAAAAAATTTTTGAAAGCCATGTGCAGGACTATCTCTCTGTTGAAAACATTTACAGCATCCAAACAATGCAGAAGGATGAAGCTGAAAAAGTGTGCATTTAGTATTGCAGCTCACAAAAGATGAAGGTTTTGGTTTAGGTAGAAAGGTTTTAATTCTCAGAATTTTGAGTTTGAGTTCTCAGTTGGCTAAGTCATGAGCATTATGTAAGCTGTATGATATAGGTTTAGCTAGAAATGACTCAGTCCAGAAAGGTTATTACATTTTTAAAAATAAAGAGAAAAATAGCCAAATTAAAAAAAAGGGGGGGAGGAATTAAAAGGCTACTACTAAATTAAATTATAAAGCTGATTTTTATATTTTTTATCTTACATATATACACACTTTTGGTGCAGCCAACTGCAACAAAAAAGGGTGATGTACATCTACACGTTATAGCAGTCCCATATACAAAATTTCAATGGTCTAAGGCTACTCATTTTTTAGTTTTGTAAGATAAATACACATGTATATACAGACATCATGAAAAAATAGCTTCTGAATCTATTTTGCAGTATGTTTTGGGAAAACGTGACCTGTCTGTACAAACAGGTAATATGAAAAAACATATTCATGTGTTTTGAAACACTATATCAATAATTTTATGTTATTACTAATCATAACCTTATGTAACAATAAAGCAAAGAAATTACAGAGGAACATTCATATGGATTCAAGAGTGTTAAAAATGGATATTTTCATTAAAATATGATACCCACAAATTTTCACTATTTCATCGTACAAGGAAGTAAAAAGAAGCTTCGGTTTCTTGATTAAAAATAGGGCCTCACCAGTGATAACCTCTAAATGCTAGTTGTTCAACCTGGGCTCATCCTAGGCAAACGAACTGGCTGCAGCATTGTTGGTTTTCAATGGTTTCACCATATATAATGTGAATACAGGCCAGTTTCCCTTAGAAAGCCTTTTTAGTTTTAGTTTCTCTTAAAAAGTTATCCCTCCCTTCAGACAGATAGCCCTTAGATACTTTGCCATATTCAAATAACCTAACCAGACACAGTCCTGTTATGCCACAACAACCCTATCTAGCAGATATCTCATCCTGACTCACTATTAATATGATTCTACAGGATCAAAATTTCTAGGCCATTCAAGCAATCTAAAATAATGTGTAGATATTTCTGACAGTTTCTGAAAAAAATCACCCTTTCAGTATTCCATTAATGCCCAGATCCTGGAGCAAATCCATGTGTTGTAATGGATGATACTTCGAAAATGACGAAGTAATAATATTTTACATTTCAAATAAGACTGCCTAAAATTATTTCCATAAACTTTTTAAATATAGGATAAAATGTAATTAAATTTGAATTCTACTCATCCTAATCTGGAGGTTGTTTATATATTCCCATGTCCCACGTTGTTGCTCATTCTTGCTCTTTCATTATCTTTACTTTCTTTTCCTTGCTGTTTCCTCTTGGCAGCATCCAGATCATACTGGCCTTAAACAGCCATCTTTCATTTTAAAATTTCTCAATACTAGGAATGATTTTGTTGCATTTTCATCAGTAGAATATACCTTATTTATATCAGCAGCAGTCTTTTTTTTTTTTTTTTTTTTTTTTAACTTGGATTAGCATTAAGCTATTAGCTTCATTTCAGGCTTTTTCAATGAAATTTGTTGCAATAAAAGTAGTTTCTTACAAAATATACCTGAAATACTTATATTTCAATTATAACATTTATGATTTAAAATTCAGTTATTATTAATATTAACTGCCAACAAGCAATCAATAGTTAGGTAAAAACTGTAGTGTTTGTTGTGGAAATCCATTACTATACCAAACTTATTTATTATTTAAAAATCCAGACAAATCTAAAATTTTAAATATTTTTGATGCCACATATTTAAAATCAAGTTATTTAACTTAAATATTTGTGAGTTTATGTTATAAATTATGATATGAATAAACTTCTTGCTTGCTTTTTATATTCTAAAAAAAATTTCTTTTTGTTGCAGGTGGAAAATCAAAATTGTGCCAACAAGACATTTACCTATTCCACATCTTACAAAAGTAGGTATTACTTCTAAGAATAAAAACGGAATATATTTATATATCTAATTCTATTGACTCTAGTCATAATAGTCTTTGTGAATAATAAATATCTGATGCATATTTTTATAGGAGTATTTCATGAATAATTATGCATCAGTAGGAGTTGATGCTTTGGTGGCTTTGAATTTTCACAAAACAAGGGAATCTAAGTTCTATCTATTTGGCAGCAGATTAATAAATAGGGTAAAGTATTTTTGTTTAATTAGTAGACAATAGTAAAGACTGAATAAAATGACTTTTTTTTTTGGCTTACTTATTGTTTGTTTTCCTCTGTAATTTCTTTGCTTTATTGTTACATAAGGTTATGATTAGTAATAATATAAAATTATTGATATAGTGTTTTAAAAAATATGAATATTTTTAATGCTGTGGAAAAATAATTTTTTGTGATCCAAGATCAAGTATACTTTAGATATTAAAAATATCACTGGAAAAATAATTTCATTTGGTACTTGCATATTATCTCATCAACCATGAAAGTTGGCAGAGTTCCTGCCAAAAATGTGCCAATCCCCCCCTGCAGAATTCTAAAAGAACTGACTTCTCTTTATTTGATAAACAATCAATATTCAATCCTCTTCTTTTTACTTCCTTTTACGAAGTAAAAAGGAAGTATTGTAATCGCGAAAAGCTTCAGGCAGCATATTTCAACGAAAATATCCACTTTGACCGCTTTCGAATGCAATTTAACGATGTTTTTGCATGATATCTGTACGTAAAGACAGAATAAAAGACTCTTTTCCTCAAAAAAAAAAAAAAAAAAACTAAAAAACTAAAAAAACTGCTTTAAAATGAATTCTGAAGAGAATTTTTCGTGCCGTCTGTACGAACATATGTACGTACGTACGTATCTCGCATAACTCAAAAACGAGTAGCTTCAGAACGTTGAAATTTTGTATAAAGACTACTATAACATGTAGATGTGCACCTCATATTTTGGTTTCAATCGGACACGCCAAACGTTTATAAATATATTTATAAATGTATCCACTCTGTTACCCGGCTCAGTGATCTCAGTTTCTTTACTCCTATATGTTTATGCCTTTAGTAAATCTGTATGCAATATTTTTAGAATTATCAACAATTTTAAAGCCTAATTTGATGGCAGCCATTGCTCTTGTTTACATTTGAAACAGCTGAGTAGCGGATTTGTTGCCAATCTAAAGAAACTTTGCTTCGCAACAACAAAGATAACGCCTTCATTTATTACTTAACTCATGCGTAATCCTTTCTGGAATTTTTTCGAGGAAATAAGCGTTTAAGATTTACTTCGTAATTTTTAATACAGATATTTTGAGTTTTTATGTATTTTTGCCTTGTCGCGAAGTGAAAACTGAATTAATTGAATGAGAAATACTCAATCGTCTGTGAAAAACTGTTTTTTGTTTTGTTTGCTTAATTTCTTTTATACATAGTTCTAGCTTTATTATAGTATTTGAATAGAACATGTGCAAACGATTAGATAATTCTTTAAATGATATAAATTTTGTGCATTTTGAGTTATAATATGAACGAAATATAATACTGTTAAGTAAACCTAGTGCCAGAGTATCGCTATGGTAAACAAAGTGAATTTAAAGAATGCATTTATTCTATTGTGGTTTATGCACTGTCAGCGAAGTAGGTTTAATTCAATCTCATAAGTTTAAATGAAATGCAAGAAAAAATGTGTGTAATTTAATATTCCGTACAAGGAAGTCATGTGGTGTACACATCAGATTTTTTCGCTTTGTGAAAAGTTTTCATCAGTTTCTACTATTTCATTAGGCTGTCCAATTTTACTAGAAACTATGTTTAGAAGATTATGAGTACTAACTTCTCGCGAATTAATTGTTCAAATTTACTACTACTGTTTTGTTGGCTACATTCAGCTAACCATGTTGTGCTTACTAATACACTCTTTTTTGATGATAGGATCACATAACTTTGAATACAGCATTAACAGTTAACTTATATATCCTTCTTCAAAAAAAAACAAAAGGTGGCTTATCAAGAATAAGCTAGAATTGCATCAGACAAAAGCACAAATGTTATATGTATCCTATTACATTACACTTACCAAGAATTATGCTAAATCATGCAGCTTGGCAACAGGTTTGCGGTCAACAGAATAGTATGCACCTGTCTTTCTTTTTCTATTCTATTCTTTTTTTTTTTTTTTTTTTTTTTTTTTTTTTTTTTTTTGTAGCAAAACTTTGTAACTGCATTTAAAAGTCTATACAAGATAAGCTTTTTAAATTTATGTATAAAATTATGCTGCCATATAGCTTGTCATTATAAGTAAGTAAGTCATTTAAAATCTCTCTTAAAATATATATTGATAGTGATTAGGCAACAAGGTTATGTATTGAACATCTGTTGTTTAAACCTCACCTTCTTAACAATAATTTAATAATATTTGAAAAAAGAATATTGTTTTTCGACAGATGAAATTTCTCTAGTTAGGTCCATTTTTTCAAATATACCAGCACATTTGTCTCATGAGCCATTCCATTGCGTTTTCTTCTTAAGGACGGTATCCATGACAATTGCATTACTTCATTTTTATCAAGTTTCATGCGCTATTTGCTGTCTTGAGTCCAGTCAGTCTATATGGTAGTTTATAGAGGCAAGTACCATTCTAATGGGCCTAACTTCTTTGAATCCCAAACAGGGTTTATACCTGTATATTTGTGTTCATTTTTTCTCTACATAAACTATGGACAAGTAAAATCTGTTTGTTGAGTACTCAGTAATGCCGGTGCTGCACTATATCTCATAACCTGTGATGCAGATTGCATGCCTTACCTCATCTTACCATTCACCAATGTCCTCTGATGGCACTTCTGTATAAAACTGTGCATTATTTGCATTAGAAATAGCTGACATATAACTATTTTCTCATCAACCATAAATGTTGCCTAACTAGTGTTTACGAGCCTCTGTTGAATGTTGTCTGAATGTTGCCTAACTCTCACCAGTCACAGTGGCAAATTTAATGCATGTGGGAGTATTTTTATGCAGCTTATTTATTACTATTAAATATAAGATCAGCATTTGTGTGATTAGATTTGCTGTGTTCTTAAATTTGTATGCAACAGAGCACTATTTTATCAATGCTTAAGGCTATTTCATGATAACTTTTATCCTATTAAATCAGAAGATTTATTGAAAATACAGTACAAAGTCCATTATCCGGAATGATCCATAATCCGGACTCCAAAGCCACAAACGTTTTTTTTTTTTTTTTTTTTTTTTTTTTTTTTTTGTATGCTCTACTCATGCACGTTTAATGTATAACAGACGGTATAAGCTAGGCTAAAATTATCTGTACTGATTCTAAGGCATTTCAGTTAATGTTGCAGATTGCACTGTTCCTTAATCTTATAATTTTGAATCCGGCTTATTATTTTTTGCAGACTGTTAGAGCAATTTTATAAAAATTAAGCTTGAACTTTCGACTATGTCAAAAAGAGTTTCCAATTCTGGAGCTGCCCAAAGGATCTACAAAGCGAAAGCATGTTTCGATGTACCACTTTCGGTAGTGAAGAAAGTGACAGAGAGGTTATTGAAAAGGAAAAAATTTCGATTGACAAGTTTGTCGGTATTCTCGACGCAGCAATTACAGGACTTGAACAGTGGAACTTAGTAATTGAACAAGAAATGATGTCTGTTTATAGAATTAAAGAGAAAGTATTAGCACTAAAAACGAAGCAACTAACTTACATTGAAAGAAATGTTTAATAAAGTAAACAAATATTAATCTTTTTTTTTTTTTTTTTGTGTGTGTGTGTGTATGTGTGTAAATTTTGATATCCTTTAGATCATAATTGCTCCTTATTTCATAAATTATGGTTTCATATTTTTAACTATAATTTCTGCATGCTATCTTACCAGATTTAAATTGATGATCTTTAATCATGGCACGGTGCACAATGAACTGGAAGTTGATCTGTCAGCACTATCCTCATCATCAGGGCAGATATTTTCGGCTTATAAATTCCTTACTAAATGTTTATTCGGCTTCTAATTCCTTACTAAATGTAGTATTTCATCTCGATGTACTCTGATATGATTTAAATCAAATTCCTCGTCATTATAAATATCACGAATACACATCAAATCGTTTTCTAGTTGCAATTTTCTAATTTCGACTATGCGTAATGTATGCTGTACGCATGTGCATGTTGAAAAAAATGTTTAATAAAGTAAACAAATAAATATTAAGCTTTTTTTTTTTTTTTTTTTTTTTTTTTTTTTTTTTTTTTTTTTTTTTTTGTAAATTTTGATACCTTTTAGATCATAATTGCTCTTTATTTCATAAATTATGGTTTCATATTTTTAATTTTATAACTTTTGCATGCCATCTTACCAGATTTAAATTGATGTTCTATAATCCGGAAAAACCCCTAATCCGGAATTGCCGAAGTCCCGATGAGCACGGATTAAAGACTTTGTACCATACTGTAGTTGACAGTTAAATGTTCGAAACCAAGGTTATCTAAGCTTTGATAAGTTCTCCAGCTGTTTGAAATTATTGCTGTCTGCGATTGAATCCACTTTATGTTGTGTGATCATGCATAGCCACAAAAAAGAATCTCCAGTCTCTTATTCTACTTCTCTAAATACCCACTACTTATTACAAATATACACTAGAGGTTGGTCATCATGGCACACTCTTTGTCACCTGCAAGATCTTTTTCCTGTGAGAAGATCCTAAAGGAAAGGCATATTCAAATAATCTGCATATGTTGGAAGATTTAAAAAGGAGTATTATGATGGTGGTTAACATCAGGATACAGATGCTCCACAAATGAGCCTCAAATACAGTAAAAAGAAAATGTACATGCATCATAAAACATAGCTGTCATTTTGAGCCTACACTGTAAAGACATGTTTGATGTTGCATTTCTGTGATGTAAGGCAGGGAATCTCATTGGAATCACAATATTGATGCAATGATGATCAAATGGTTATACCCAAATATGCACAATCAGTAACTGATCATCACAGTCAAGATGCCATCACTTACAAGAAAAATTTATTAATAAAATTTATGATTAATTGGTTATTGATATAAATCTTTATCAAGGAATATAAGGGATGCTAAAATTATATACTAATATACACTAAAATTATTTAATATCTTTTGAAAATCAATTATATTTTTTAAAAATATACTTTATGCAATAAGTGCAATATGAGGAAAACATAACTAAAGAACTGCAAAAAATGCAAATCTATAACGGAAAACAAGAAACAGGTTGAATATTTTTTAACAAGGTGATTTAAGAATTAAATTAAGCAATTTTATTAAACAAACTGCATCAATACCCTGAGCACAGCTGTCAAATTAATTAAAATTGATTTTTTTAAAAAATTGAATCTGTAATTTTGTTTTCAAAAACTTAATATTTGTAAAATTAAATGTAATACAAAAAATAATGAAACACAAATCTAATAAACCATTTTTTTCAAAACCTTTATTCACATTCTTAATTAAATTGTTGCCTTACAGTTATTTATGTGCAATTATTTGCATTATGATTATGCTGTGCACATATTATAGAGAAAAATATAAGGTGGTTGTTGCAAGAAAATGGTTGGAAATCCCTGATGTAAGGCAATAAATATTAACAAAATATTTCTTGTCTTATATATAATAGTTAATAGTTATAGTTAATGCATTAAATCAGACAATTTTAATTATTAACTGTAATGTATGCAATTTTTCAATCATCCTGTACTTTACTAATTCAGAAGCCAAACACCAAAAATCCGCATTATATTTTCAAAATTTTCACAGGACTAGTTTCAATGGTTTTATGGAACCACCATCCTCAGCTGCAAAACCGCAAATGAACGAGAGAGGATATAATGATTAGAATATAAATGATATAATGATAAGAAAGCCTGGACAAGAATAAGCAAGTGGTGCCATCTGTTAATGAAACCAGAACTAAAACATAATTTCTTTAAAGGCTGAAGGCAAAGATGGATTGGAATTAGGATCGTTAACTAGAACAAAAAGATTTTTTTTTTTTTTTTTTTTTTTTTTTTTGGGAATGCGAAATGTCTCTAGAAAATCCAGTTCTCCAATTGAAGATTTTTTTTTTTTTTTTTTTTTTTTTTTTTTTAAATAATTTTGGCAGCAGAAAAATTGAAAGTGTGATTTTTGGACCAAAACGTTGAGCAACAGAAGACTTCTGTGTTTCCTTTTTTCTAACATATGCCTCATGTTCCTTGACGAGAAATTTTAAGGCTCTCGTAGTTTCGCCCAATGTAAATTAAAAACCACACTGGAAGGAATCCTATAAATACCCCAGGAATTCTTATCTGGAATGGGGTCCTTGAGTATGGAACTCGGAATTTTATTGATGGGAGAATAAACAAAACGAAAGTTAAATTTCTGCAAAATATGTGCAACTATATAGCTAACTGATGGAAAGAAGGGAATGACAACAGAATTTTTATAATCTTTTAAGACAAGAGTGTGCCTTTTAGTATGTTGATATGAGAATTTTTTAACTGCTTGATTAATAATGTTGAGTGAAAAGCCCTTGTCAATAGCTATTGCTTTTAAATAATTTAATTCTTTATCAAGGGATAGTTTGGAGGAGCAAACTTGAAGAGCACAGAAAACATAGGAATAAAATGAAGCTAACTTTGTTTAGTCAGATGACATGATTTAAAGTGTGGTGGAAGGCAAACGGATGAAGGTTTACGATAAACCGTAGTACTGAAGTTGGATGTGTTACGTGTGACCAGAATGTCGAGAAACGGAAGAGAATTGCAAGTCTCAAGTTCAAAGGTGAACTGAATAGCAGGATCAATAGAATTTATTGTTGAAAGAACTTTATTTAAATCATCTTTATTACCTTCAAACAGGGTAGTATCGTCTACGTAGTGGGACCATCCGGAAAGTTTAAAGTTTCAAACAATTTTGATTCATAATAATGCATGTAGATATTAGCCAGGATGGGACTGAGGGGCTTCCCATGGGTAATCCCTCAGTTTGCTTGTAATATTTATTTTGGAAAACAAAATGTGTTTGTTTCAAACAGAGTTAAATGAGAGAAATTAGCTCATCAATTTCGATGCAAGAAAAATGAAATTCGCAAAGTCTGGTTTCTAGACATCTTAATGCACCCTCCATTGGAACATTGGTGAATGATTTTATGTCAAAAGAAACCATGAGTAAATTTCTGGGAGAAATGTTTTTAACCTTTTTTACAAACTCTATTGAATTTTTTATGGTGTAAATGTTATCGTCTAATAGAGTTGAAAATCTAGAAACTAAATATTAGCTCATGGATACGACACAGTACCTACATTTGATACAGTAGGGCAGAAAGGAATACCACTTTTATGTATTTTGGGAAGAGCATATAATCTGGCACAATTCATAACAGATGGGATAAGCGAATGTTTTAAGTTGCTTGAAACGATTTGTAAAGATTTGATCGCAATTTTTTTTTGACAGGTTTGAAGGTGAAGGATCTTTAGGGATCGGATTATATGGTCCTTCATTCAAGAGTTTAGTGACACCATCAATGTAAGTGTTCTTATCCCTGACAACTGTCTGGCCACCTTTGTCGGCCTTTGAAATGATAATATTCGTGTTAGAATGAATTTCGCGCATTGTAGCTCTTTCTCTCGCAGTTAGATTTGGTTTCAAAGGTTTATTATTGAATTTCACATTATGAGCGATAAGATGCCTAATCATTTCTTTCTGTGAATCTGAAACTTTACTGAACTTGAAAGCCTTTTCGATAGGAGCCAAAATCTTTGGAATCGAGGGTTTACAGGTTTGTGAGAAGTTAAAATTATAGTTTAGAATTCTCTCCCGTTCTTCTGATAAACTAAGATTAGAAATATTAACTGTTGGCTTAATGTTTACAATGGGAAGATTTTTTGAATTACTTGAACTGGAAGACAGTAAAAGAAGTTTTTCGAATTTAACTGCAAGGGTGTTTTTATGACGGTTAACTGCATTCTCCATTCTAGACCAAGACTTTTGTTTCAGGGCAGTGAATTTTGGATATGAATTAGTGAGTTCCAGATGAAGCTTATAGAGCTCATGTTCAATTTTGAACAATTGTTGAAGTGTATCCCTTATGATGGACCGAAGTAAGGCAAGCTTGCAATTTAACAGAATTCTTGAAATAGACTGGAAGGTTTTTGATTAGATTTGATTTGAATGAAATTGGGGATCAATTTTTACATTTACACTTAAGTAAAAAGTCAAGATGATTCAGGAATGATACAGTTGCCAAAAGCTTGCACAAGAACTACACCGTTACATTAGATATGAGACAAGATACTTGCTGGAACCAGCAGTCATATCCTTCAAGTTCAGAGAATGCAATAAACTGTATAATGATGTCTTGGTACATTTCATTGTTTACTCTAATTTCAAATAATATTCAACAGTGAAAACATAAACAAAATGCTGTACAATAATAAAAATTTGTTACTTTAAAAAAAAAAAAAATCTGCCAGGCAACACAAATAAAGCTCTAATGCAGATGTCATATGACCATTAGATGACAAATAGTATATGTGTTATTGTTAGTAATTTTACAGTGTCATTTAGAAATATATGGTACAGTTATTACAACTGCAGTTCAATTTATAATATTTACCTAATATGCATAACTAAAATTCTGTCTGTATTTTTCTTCAACAATTTTATGCATAATTTGTTGACAAAAGTAATAATATATATATTAGGCCTAAGGTGCAAACGTGTAATCACATAATTTCTGTTATGTATAAGCGTTTAGTGTTAAGGGTTTAATCCAGCATTTGATTTGCATCTTAAATTTATCAAATCCATGAATTATTATTTTAATTTCTGAAGAATTGTTTTTAATAAAAAAATTGCATATCAGGTACTCATTGATGAAATGTTTTCAGTTTTTGTATCTTATCTATGGAGCCAAAGATATTTTGGAAAGAGGTTGTGAAAATCTGCACAAAAAGATTGAGCTGTATTTAGATGGCAAGCAAATTCCACTCCCAGAATTAGAAGCTGTGATCATAATGAATATCCCCAGCTGGGGTGGAGGTGTCTTTGCCTGGGACATGGGAACTCCGGAGAAAAAATTTTCAGCTCAGAGGTAAGCTTTTTCTTCCTTCAAACCCCTTGAAAGGACATTATTTTTCTCAGTTAGTGATGAAATCCTATTTATTACAAATAAAGCTTAGAAACATTAGGCCTCATTCTTGTCAATGAATGAGTCGTAAAATCTTTTATTTATCTTTAGTATTATAAAATTACGAAGGGACATTATTTTTCTCAGTTAGTGATGAAATCCTATTTATTACAAATAAAGCTTAGAAACATTAGACCTCATTCTTGTCAATGAATGAGTTGTAAAATCTTTTATTTATCTTTAGTATTATAAAATTCATTAGCAGAAGAAAATAAATATTTTATAAAGGTATAAGGTATTTCTCCCACCTTCTTAGCGAGCCTTCATGGTGTAGTGGTCTGCACGCTCAGCGCATAATTGAGAAGTCCGTGGTTCAATTCCCAGCAAAGGCATTTGCTATTTTTCATCTTGCCTGCTTCCAAAAAAAAAAAAACCTAATGTCTCTACAGTGGTGCCTGAACTAAAAGGGTGTTGGATGATGATTCTTCTCACCCAGGATTTGGCAATTGGGTCCCCTACAAACCCCAGTGGCCCTTTAAAAGGGGGAGTATATAATGTATTTCTCCCTCCTTCGTGGTGTAGTGGTCAGCACGTAATTGAGAGATTCGCGGTTTGATTCCTGGCAAAGGCGTTTGCTATTTTTCATCTTGCCTGCTTCCAAAAAAATACCTAATGTCTCTACAGGTATTTTAGATGTACTTTTTAAGAATATTTTGAAGTAAGTGTTATTTTATACATTAAGTGTAGTAAATATATATTTGTAATTTGTAATTTCTAATCATTGGTTGGGTGTGAAAAAAGTGTGATGCCCCATTTTTCATGTCTTATTTCCTTTGTTGAGCTGCATGGTATGAGCACAATATAGTTCTTGGAAAGCATGTTTTTTTTTTGGGGGGGGCTTTGAGAGATTTGTTTCTTTTTCTTAACCACCCGTATTAGATGATTGAAGGTGAAGCAGCTTGTGCTAGTGAGTGATTATACTCTTTCCTATTTAAGATAGGTATAATTTGTTTCTAATGTGTTAGCAGATAAGAGCATCCATAGAATAGCATCAATATGTAACATTGAGAAGAAAAACTTTGTCTTGGCAAGGAATATATATATGTTTGTGTATTTAAGGATAAGTAAATTGAAAAAGAGGGTTACTGTAAAGACCAAATTAATTACTTCTGTATTATGCAGCATAATATCAAAAATGAATTATTGATCTTATATATCACCAATTAACAGTAGTTCCTATTTTTGATGTTCAGGATTTGTTACTAGAAACAATGTCTGTTTATCATATTCAGGATTTTATCTACAAAATGAGGACAACTTTTTTAACCTTGAAGAAGTGTTAAAAATTAATGAAATTTATTTTCAGTTAAAATATGCATAATAGCATTGCTACATAATTTTCTTTTTATCAAAATTGATGTTCAGTTGTCACATTCTGCTGATGATTTCAGGTGAGCTTGAAAAATTAAATGATGGTGTCAATTGTTATCTGTGATAAAATTTCTGTGGACTTAAGCAGTTGTTTTCCCCTCCTCCCTTTTGTTTCATTGCTATATATTTTTTAATTGGTTATGTAAATTTTTTAACTACATGATTCCTTAGGTATGATGATGGAATGCTCGAAGTTATTGGAGTGTATTCCTCATTTCATATAGCACAGCTTCAAATAGGTATGTCTGAACCTGTGCGCTTAGGCCAAGCAAAGAATGTTATGGTATGTATCATATTATTTTTTTCTACTTTACTCTCTTAGTTTTGCAGTCTGTTCTTAACTACGAGAAGATTAAACATCTCCTTTAATAAAAAATGGTAAACAATGATTGTAATCTGTATATGATAAATCTTTGATGAATCATTAACAGTTTTTGTTTTCATAAAATTTCACCAATACTGCATAGAATTTCAGTATTACTGTAAAATATGATATTTGAAAGTAAATATATGTAATGTAAATTCTAATGTTATTTTGCAAAGCCCCTTAAAGTCTCCTTTTTCTTATTTCCTGGTTATTTCTCTTTTCTGTGCAAAAAATAGCAAAAAGCTTTTTGTTTCTTATATGAGGCTAATAATGTATGTACTTACATAATAAAGTACAGGGTGGTCATAAAACAACTTCCCCAGTATATGAACCCCTAACAGCCTATTTGCTCAACCATTCAGATATTACTATTTGAAGGTATGCATGAAGATTGTGATGATTTGAAACAATTGAGCTCTCACAGTTACAGTGCAAAATTTCAAAATTTCAAAAAACAAAAAAAAAAATTTAAAAAAAAAAAAATTCACTTTTTGCTCAAATTGATCAGTACATTGAAAAATCATAAATGGCGTTGGAACAATAAAGGTATGACAAAAAGTGCTGGCATAAATAATTTGCAAAGAGCATTATAAAAGAACCAAAGACAACATAACAGAGGAGAGAGAAAAAAAAATATTAAAATTCAGTATGCTCACCTTCAAATTTTCAATATGCCTACCTTCACAAAGAATAATGCATTGTGTGCTGACAACAATGACGAAGGTAAAAATTTTGCATTCATCATTGTTGTCAACAGTGATGAACTGAAGGAATTTGTATGACTTCATGTTTTATGGCTTCTTTTAATTCTGATAAATCTCAGGGATTTGATATGTACACCTTAGATTAGAGATCAGAAATCCATCAGATTGAGGTCAGAGTATCTAGGTGGATATGAAACTGCAAAACTTCGGAAGATGACTCTATCTCCAAAGTGCTATTGTGGCATTTGCCGAATATATGTGGAGGGGCAATCTGGCATCCATATAATGTTATTAATGACATTTTGGTGCTGCAGTTCTAGAAATATGTAACGTTCCCATTTAAAAAGTAAGGAGACTCATTCACCCATAATATCTGCATCAGCCACTTGCTCTCTTCAGCATATCTGATGAGGAAAAAAATCACTAAATTGATGCACTGTTGCTCACCTCCAGGTTGCAACATCTGGACATGCTAAAATTGATAAGGAAACAGCTGCAAAACAGAGTGCAGAAACCTGAGAACTGTGGTTTTTTTTGTACATTCAAACTGCCAGCAACACTTCTTGCAGTATGCAGTGGACCTGCCGTAATCGTATTATGACCTTCTGCAGCAACTTCAACAGGAACACATGGTCGCCCAGATTGTGGTCTACCATATGTAAATCCAATTTCTTCAAATTTTTTACCAAATCATTTACAGTTTTTATGGAGCATGGGACTTGTCTTAATTTATGATTTTGCCAATAAACTCACACTGCTTCAATAACATTTTTCCCTTTCAGATTAAACAGCTTTATAAATTCGCCTCATTGTTTTCTTGTAAGAGTCATCTTGACAGCATGTTCAAACACCTGTTTGGAGAAACAGTTTTCCTACATGGCTTATTAAAGGTTTCCCACAAGTAATACTTTATACATGGTGCTCTGTGATTGATGCTTTTACTGTCTGTCCATGTGAATTATGCAAAGTGCATCAATGCACCTCCCCTCTGTGTCGTCATTGGTCCTTTACATTTTGTCAAACTTATATTATTCATTGCTATTTAGGGTTTTCCTATGTGCTGATCACTGTGCAGGAAAAAAAATGTGACAAAAATTTAGATATTTTTTCACTGTACCCTTAACTATGAGCGCAATATTGTTTTAAATCATTACAATTTCATGCATGTACCTTAAAGTAACAATATCTGAAACTCCATTATGGCTGGTTTAGCAGATAGTCAGCTAAGAGTTTATACACCAGGGAAGGTAAACAGGGTAAGGTACCCTGTACATTAGGGTCGAGTGAAAAAGGCAAAAAAAAAAAAAAAAAAAAAAAAAAATAATTTTCAAATTTTATTATTTCCTGACCCAACAAATGTTTCTGTTCAATGAAAAAGCATAGTGAAACAATTGCAGCGCAATTGCTCATCATCTTCAGGTTCTACATGCGTTAAATAAAAAAAATCATTGTTTAGAAAACATCAAACTATTTTTTAATGATTTCAGTAGAGACACTGCTGAAGTTCGTCATCATTAACTATTGTATTGTACATTAGGGTCGAGTGAAAAAGGTAAAAAAATAAATTTCAAATTTTATTATTTCCTGACCCAACAAATGGTTCTGTTCAATGAAAAAGCATAGTAAAACAACTGCAGCTCAATTGCTCATCATCTTCAGGTTCTACATACGGTAAATAAAAAAAATCAATGTTTAGAAAACATCAAGCTATTTTTTAACAATATTCTATAATGGTTTCAGTAGAGACACTGCTGAAGTTTGTCATTATTAACTATTCACTTGCAAATGTTTCTTACTGGAAACATTTGCAAAAAAAAAAAAATATAAATATATATATATATTATATATATTTTACATTAATAACTCATTTATTTTGATGTTAAATTCAGTAGATTTAATTTTTATTTGATTTGAAAAAAATAATTTATTATTTATCATAATTAAATTTTTCTTGAGTTTCTTATTATGTATTATAATTTAATGTATATGTATTACAAATTTATGTTTTAAGGCAGTTTTTTTTTAAACTGTCTTAAAACATAAATTTGTAATAAGACTGTTTTAAGGGGACTCGTACACCTTAAAACCCATAAGGTCTTCGAATATGTGACTGTTGCAAGAATTGGGATAACTTATTTATTTTAAAAGCAATTACTTCCAACTTTTTACAGCTGACTACATAATATAGCTGCTTTCTGAAATAGTAATCAGAAAGTTTGTGTTGCCACAAATTTTTTTATAATTTAATCCGCTTTATGACAAACGTTTTCGTCATGTTTCCACCTTGCGTGCACAATTTAAAACATTCTATTGCATAATTTAATTCCATATTTAACATATAGCTTTTATAACATTTGGAAACTACAGTGAACCAAAAATCCTAAGAATTTGATGTTAAATTTTTATTTTATTTGGATATGAGTTTATAAAATGTATTTTATTGAAAAAAATCTGTAATGTTTTCGTGCATAAAAATTTTTAATGTTAAAATGTTCATCAGATTTTTGGTTCAGTTAGAAAATAGTGCCCATATAAAGAATTCCATCAAATTTTAAGTACGCATCATTAGCCATTTTTAAAATATCATGCGCGTAAGGTGGAAACATGATGAAAAATTTTGTCAAAAAGCAGATTAAATTACAAAAATATTTGTGCCAACACAAACTTTCTGCTTGCTAGTTTCCAAAGCAGCTAGATTATGCAGTCAGCTGTAAAAAGTTGGAAGTAATTGTTTTTAAAATAAATAAAATATCCCAATTTGTGTAACAGTCACATATTCGAAGAACATAAGGGATTTAAGGTGTATGAGCCACCTGCTTTAATAACTGTTTTAAGACAGCTTTGTTGACTTAAAAACTACAAAAATTAAAGTAATTAAATTCAAAATTATTATTTTGGGGTCATTAAATAACAATCTACAAATATGTTTTATGAATATGCAGTGCCAGTTAATTCATGAGTGAAAAAGTTATGTATGGTGTTACCAAAATTAATGTGCCAGAAAATTATACACAATTTTTTTACTTTCTCAAAATAGATATATTTCTCCTCTAAATAGATGGCAGATTGGCACCAGAGCCAGTGCAGTCACACCGGGCAGAATTTTGAATTTAGAGAAAGCAGCAGATTTGCAGAGATTCTGATAGATTGTAGTTAATAGTAAATTCAGAAAATAAAATTTCCATTGATTTTGGTGGATAAACAATTAACAGCTTAACTATATAATTTAATAAAACATTTTGATGACATCTATTGAAATTATGGCAAGTGAATTGTTCATACATCAATTGTTAGCAATGTTTAATATTTTGATTGAAACATCTATATCGTATTAGCCACTTTGTCCTTAATAGTTTGCATTTTGATTTGATTGTTTGTAAATATTTTTGACAAAAGAATTGAAGGTATATGTACAGTTTAGAAGCTATTTATAAAAAATAATATATGTTAGTCAAAAGGACTGAGAAGGAATTTATTTTTTAATGCACATGCAATATATGGCAGCAAAACAAATATTTGTTGTAAATAATGTTGACACAATAATTAACATTATGATGAACACAACTATTGTGATTGTTTCAAAATATCTGAGTAACAATTGATGGATTCTGGTAATGTTATACATTTCTCATGATAGCATTTTCACCATTTTACCTGATTATATGAACTTAAGGTGCATCTTTGGAGTTTCGGAATCTAATAGCAGAGCATGAGGAAGCATGCTTAAAATCCGTCATTATTGCATCCACTGCATTATAATGATCTTGAAAGCAAACCAAGTAAAATCCAGAAATCACCATGGTCTTTTAATTTATGTTTTCCTGTAGTCTTGTATCTGAAATTAGAATTTTTTAAAGGCGCATATAACTGGGAAATTTTTAGATCCTTTTAAGTCATTTATGTAATAAATAAAAAAAAAGCACAATCAATTTCCTTATGAATAGATAATTCTAATCACTGATGAGTGGGGTATTTTTTTTTTTTTTTTTAAATCTTTGATATTATGAAAGGGTCTTGCTGAGTACAATGTTTAGTTGATCATTTAGAAAGTCATTCTATACAGGCGTCTTTCTAAATCTGCTTCTTGTATACACTATCATCTGCATAAAAAATAAAATCTAATAGTCATGAAGAAGTTTTATAGTATAACACGTAGGTTTTGAGACACTCTATCTGTATTTCAGATTTTATTTTCTTTTATTTTGTTAAAAA